CCCCCGGCCCCCAGTCCGAAACAGTCGAGTGGCACCTTTAAGACCAAGTTTTATTCAGGTACAAGCTCTCCCTCCTCTGCGAGGACAGATCTGCATGCCCCCCCCAATAGCTAGCAATCCAAAACTGTCCAGTGGAGCCTGAGTGGTGGGTGTTGCCTTCTGACACACTTTTGGTGATGTCAGGGGGTGTGGCATATACAAGTAAGTTATGCTAATGAGCTCCTGCACCTCTTTTTCTATGAAATGACCCCTGACTACAGCTAAACACATAAGCCCACCCCCTGCCCGCAACTTCTCAATTAAGCCAAGCTGACTTACCTTTTCCAGTCCCGACTGGCTTCTGTCTGACTGCATAGTGGAAGCTACTCCAGTTTCATTGGATGATGTGATGCGCTTGCAGCTGACCTCTTCTTTGCATCTAGAAGTTCTCCTTTCCCTCAAATCGTCATCTTTAAGACAGAAGAATTCACCGATAGATTTGGAACACAGCCAGTAACTCCCCCTAAGCTGTGGAGTCTTGTGAGCAGAAATTCTACTTTGTGAGATACTGTCATTAAAGTCATGAGTGAACGATTTGCCTACTGCATGAATTAGTTTGCTCTGGAGCCCCATCGTTCCTTAGCTGAGACAAAAATGTGTGAGCCGGAGGCTAAAGAACTGTGAGCTAGCTCACACTGGCTCAGCATAGAGAGAACACTGAATCCATCTCAACGGGTGACATCTGATCTATATTGAATTAACGCTCTCTGAGAGCCAGTTCCTGGAGACACGTGTTGGATCCAGACTAAATTCTCCATCAAGAAAGCAGAACTTTCCCGCACCTCCCACCAGTGTTCCCTCTAAGCTGGGTGAGTGTGAGCTAGCTCACAGTTTTTAGCCTCCGGCTTACACATTTTTGTCTTCGCTCAGGAAGGATGGGGCTCCAGAGCAAATGAATTTATGCAGTAGCCAAATCGCTCGCTCACACCATTAATGGAAGTCGCTCACAAAGGAGAATTTTTGCTCACAAGACTCCACAGCTTAGAGGGAACATTGCCTACCACCCCTGGAAGCCCACGGAATGCTGTTCCCGACGGACCCGGTGGAACGATGTGGCAGAGAGGTTCCACCAGGCTTTTGGTTGAGGACAGCAACGCTTCCATCTTCTGTTATTTACCCTTCTCTGTTATTTACATCCACCTCGCCCTCTTCCCCACAGTCCGCAAAGCAGCTGACAGGTGGAACTAGGACTGGTTAATTATTCGCCATCCGACTGTCAAAAGGTTTTATTAATGTTCTAACTGATTTTATCTAGTTTTGTTTTATGGCTTTTGTACATCCCCCAGAGCCCTGCTCTGGCAGGGATTGGGCCGGAGGCTAAAAACTGTGAACGGCACCGGCTCCCTATTGAATTCCAGATCTGCTTCAAGGGCCTGGCAAAGGTAAAAGGTAAAGGTTCCCTTGCTCGAAAGACAGTCGAATCCGACTCTAGGGTTGCGGTGCTCATCTCCGTTTCCAAGCCGCAGAGCCAGCGCTGTCCGAAGATGTTTCCGTGGTCATGTGGCCGGCATGACTAAACACCAAGGCACACGGAACGCTGTTACCTTCCCACTGAAGTGGTACCTATTTATCTACTTGCAGTTTCTTGCTTTCGAGCTGATAGGTTGGCAGCAGCTGGAACTAGAGGCGGGAGCTCACTCCGTCATGCGGCAACCCGGGTCTTGAACTGCTGAACTACCGACCTTCCACAGCCTGCAGCTCAGCGTCCTAACCACTTGAGCCACCGCAGCTCCTTCAAGGGGCTGGTGCTTACCTTTAAAGCCCTATACGGCCAGGGGCCAGCATATCTTCAAGACCGCCTCTCCCCATATGAACCCCGGAGGGACACTGAGGTCCATGAATCAACATCTTCTAGCTGTCCCCGACGACCGAAAAAGTCCTGGCCCCCACCTGGTGGAATGAGCTCCCATAAGAGACCAGGGCCCTGTGGGATCTACTACAGTTCCGCAGGGCCTGAAAGACGGAGCTCTTTCACCGGGCTTTTGGTTGAGGTAGCGGACGTCCCTCTTCTTTCATGGCTATCTCCCACTAAGTGGCCTGGATTTTAACATCGATACTGCTGAATTGACATTGGTGGCCTGGACTTTAACATCAATATTGTTAAACTGACATCAGAACTAGCTTGTTTGCACAGTATTTTATGGTTTTGTTGTTTTAATATATTGTACTGAGACTGTTGTGAACCGCCCTGAGCCCGTTTATGGGGAGGGAGGTATACAAATCAAATCAATAAATAAACAACAAGAAGCGGGGGATCCGCGGCAGGAAGGGAACACCGGTGGCGGAAAATGCCAGTTTAGTCTGGAAGCAATTCAATTCCACCAGAAGTTTATTTTCCAAACACACACACAAAGTCCCACCACACCCAGGATTCAAAGCCTTAAAAATGCAAGAGGCAGGTCACCCATCCACCTTTGGTACGAGACAGGGATCTTCTGCTACTTCCTTCTGACACAAATGAGGCGTGCCACAGCCTAAGCGTTATCAGAGCTAGAATGCAGAGGGACGCCAAAAGCTCGTGGAAGTTTGTGCGCACGATTCATTCGTATCCGGTCCTCCAAAGGACCAAGTATCGTATCTGCTCCCAGACACAGACAGGTGAGCCAGCAGGAACGGACCCACACTGAAAAGTGGCAACGGCTCGCACCAGGCCCACGCTACAAGTTAGTATTCATCACAACCCTGTTTAAGTGCCCAAACTTAAGTTTCTGACTTCGGGCTGAACTGGCATTTGTGGCGGCTGGTCATGCGCACATCCCCCGGGGTGGATATGCGCTGGGACTCTCCAGATTTCCATTATTATTATTATTTTATTTATTTCACCTTATCCCAGGTCACGCCAGGTTCTGGGCGACGTCCACAAGGCATGATGCCATAAAATATACAAAAACATTAAACATTCAGTAGAATTGAATATAGGAAAATTGCCATCTTCGATCTTTTATTCTGTATTTATTTATTTATTTATTTAGCCCTGTCCCAGGTCACGCCGGCCTCTGGCCGACGTCCACAAGGCATGATGCCATAAAATATACAAAAACATTAAACATTCAGTAGAATTGAATATAGGAAAATTGCCATCTTCGATCTTTTATTCTGTATTTATTTATTTATTTATTTATTTATTTTGCCCTGTCCCAGGTTACGCCGGCCTCTGGGCGACGTCCACAAGGCATGATGCCATAAAATATACAAAAACATTAAACATTCAGTAGCATTGAATATAGGTTATTTATTTATTTATTTTGCCCTTTCCCAGGTTACGCCGGCCTCTGGGCGACGTCCACAAGGCATGATGCCATAAAATATACAAAAACATTAACATTCAATATATAACTTACTAAAAAAACCTACAATGCAGATTAAAAGATCCAAGGTGGCGATTTCCCTATAATAGTTATTTCTCGCAATTCTGGACTCCAGGCCCCTTTTCTGGGCACAGGGACAGAGAACTCGGAGCAGATAAGGGAGGGCGGAGTGAAGGACAGGTGCCAGCCAGTAAGGAAACTCATTTGCTGCCCTCAACCAAAAGGCTGGCAGAACACCTCTGCCTTACAGACCCTGCGGAACTGCATCGGATCCCGGCAGGGCCCTGGTGTCATTTGGCAGAGAGTTCCACCAGGTCGGGGCCAGGATCCAAAAGGCCCTGGCCCTGGTTGAGGACAGCCAGACATCCCTGGGGCCGGGGAATCACCAGCAAGTTGTTATTCGAAGAGCACAAGGCTCTCCCAGGGACATACCGGAGGAGTAATGCTCCCCTCTAAGCTGTGGGGTCTTGTGAGCAAAAATTCTACTTTGTGAGCCGCTGGCATTAAGAAGAGGAGGAGGAGGAAGAGGAGGAGGAGGAAGAAGAGGAATAGGAAGAGGAGGAGGAAGAGGAGGGAGGAAGAGGAAGAAGAGGAAGAAGGAGAAGAGGAAGAGGAGGAGATTGGATTTACACCCTGCCCTTCACTACCCACAGGAGTCTCAGAGGGGCTTACAATCTCCTTTCCCTTCCCCTCCCCACAACAGACACCCTGTGAGGCAGGTGGGGCTGAGAGAGCTCTGACAGAAACTGCTCTTTTTCAAGGACAGCTCTTGTCAGAACTATGGCTTGCCCAAGGCCATCCAGCAGCTGCAAGTGGAGGAGTGGGGGAATCAAACCCGGTTCTCCCAGATTAGTGTCCACGCACTTAACCACACCATACTACACCAAACTGGCTCTCATTAAAGTTGTGAGCGAGCAATTTGGCTACAGCACGCTACACCACACTACTACACTACACTACACCAAACTACACCAAACTGGCTCTCATTAAAGTTGTGAGCGAGCAATTCGGCTGCTGCAGAAATTACTTTGCTCTGGAGTCCTCCTTCCCGAGCTAAGACAAAAATGTGTGAGCCGGAGGCTAAAAAACTGTGAGCTAGCTCACACTAACTCAGCTTAGAGGGAATACTGCGGAGGAGATGTTGGCCCCAGATTGCTCAAGGCCTTAAAGGTCAGTGCCAAAACCTTGAACCTGACTCGGCACTCCACTGGAAGCTAGTGTCGCTGGCACAGCACCGGTTGTACATGTGCCGTCCGTGACGTTTACTTCATGCATACCCCCATCTCTCTCCCTCACTGGGGTCCGAAGCCGCTCACCTCACCCACCCCTCCTCCACTGTATCCTCACAACAACCCTGCCAGGTAGGTGAGGCAGAGAACGTGTGACTGGTCGTGGGTCACCCGCAGCAAGCTTGCGTGGCAGCGTGGGGATTCGAACCTGGGTCTCCCAGATCCAAGTCCAGCACTCTAACACCACCGCCCTAGCTCTGAAAACATTTTTTTTTGTGCTCCCTGGGGGGGTCGCTTTAGATCTGGAGTTCTTGGGGAGGGGGACCAGGCAAGGTTGTGACAGGACAAGGGGTCCACTCCAGAGCTTCAGGTCTAATTCTTGAACTTCTTAAAAGGTCAGCATGCTTACCAGACAGTGCATTTGCTTCCCGGAACTGGAACTGGCAAAGTTTTTGTCTTAATACTTCAGTGGTAGTATTTACAAGCCTGCTGTGTGCCTTCTTCGTCTTACCCAAAGTAGGAGTGTCACTAGTAAAAGAAACTCGTGAGGCAGTCTGTTCTTCTGAACGGCCCGAAGGCCGACTGGTTGGTTTGTGTTCTTCTGAACGGTCCAGATACCGACTAGTTGGTTTGTGTTCTGAACGGCCCAAAGGTTGATTAGCTGGTTTGTGTTCTTCTGAACGGCCCAAAGGCCGACTGGTCAGTTTGCGTTCTTCTGAACGGCCCAGAGGCCGACTGGTTGGTTTGTGTTCTTCTGAACGGTCCAGAGGCCGACTTGTTGGTTTGTGTTCTTCTAAACGGTCTGGAGGCCGACTTGTTGGTTTGTCTTCTTCTGAACGGTCCAGAGGCTGACTGGTTGGTTTGGGTTCTTCTGAACGGTCCGAAGGCCGACTGGTTGGTTTGTGTTCTTCTGAATGGTCCGAAGGCTGACTGGTTGGTTTGTGTTCTTCTAAACGGTCCGAAGGCCGACTTGTTGGTTTGTGTTCTTCTGAATGGTCCAGAGGCCGACTGGTTGGTTTCTGTTCTTCTGAAAGGTCCAAAGGGTGACTGGTTGGTTTGTGTTCTTCTGAAAGGTCCGAAGGCCGACTGGTTGGTTTGTGTTTTTCTGAACAGTCCGAAGGCCGACTGGTTGGTTTGTGTTCTTCTGAATGGTCCGAAGGCTGACTGGTTGGTTTGTGTTCTTCTGAATGGTCTAGAGGCCGACTGGTTGGTTTGTGTTCTGAACAGCCAGAAGGCTGACTGGTTGGTTTGTGTTCCTCTGAAATGTCTGAAGGCTGACTGGTTGGTTTGTGTTCCTCTGAAATGTCTGAAGGCTGACTGGTTGGTTTGTGTTCCTCTGAAATGTCTGAAGGCTGACTGGTTGGTTTGTGTTCCTCTGAAAAGCCAGAAGGCTGACTGGTTGGTTTGTGTTCCTCTGAAATGTCTGAAGGCTGACTGGTTGGTTTGTGTTCTTCTGAATGGTCCAAAGGCTGACTGGTTGGTTTGGGATATAAATGCACTTCCATCGGCTTCGGGACCGGAGAATCAGATTCCTTTTCATACAAGTTTAACAGCAGGTCTTGCAAAGACCCGGCGTTCAAAAACTGTTTCATGTTGGTGTCTGTGCTACAACCGTTATGGGGAAGGCCCCTGGACACGTCTGGAGTGCGGTTATAAATGCTGATTTCAGAATTAACAACCAGTTTAGCTACTGGCTCCTTGGCCAACATTTCTTTCGATTCAAGATCTGGGTTCGTTTCTTTGGAAGATTTGTAATTTAAGCACTCTGTTCCAATCATTTTTAACTGCACATAATTGTCCACGCTGTAGGTGCTGCTTCCAGACCTTCTCAGTTCATGAAGATTTCTCAGTAATTCCACTTGCTTTCGGCTACTCGGGGTCATCGTTTTTCTGGCACGTAGCGGCTTCCTGATGTTGGCATCTGGATTCATTTTTAGACCCTAAAAATAGAAAAATGCACCTTAAAGCCACAGCCAAATACTTAAGCTCCTGCTCAGAGGTTGAATAAATCTGTTTAATGTTCCCTTGCGCCATTATTCTAAACTTGTAGCCTAGTGAATATGCTGGGAGGCCCAACCTGGTATTATATTACGTTGTGCTCCCGTTGGTATCCCACGCAAATACATAAAATTTCTGTAAATGTTAGGAAAAACTGAAACATATGAAACACTTTCCTATCAAACCCAATACTAAATAAAATGGAGAGTAGCTAACTGCTGTACCATAAACCATCTTAGCAGATTTAATGGCTAAAAAAATTTATTTCAAAGGATCCCCCCCCCCGTGCCCCTCAAAATCTCCGGCTCTTTCCAATGGAAAAAAATTGAAGAAATAAATCCTCAGACAGTTACGCGTGATACGCTTTGAATACAACCTTGCCTTAAAATGGAGTTCACTCATCCCAAAAGAATTTCAAAGGAGTTGTTTTCAGAGCTCCCATGAAATTTCTAAAGGGAAAATTAAACGCTATACATTCTGGGAAAGTCACACTTCAACTTTAAAAGCATTTTACTCATTCACCTTAAAAGACAAAAAAATCATAAGATTTTTTTCAATACTCTCCACCAGAAAAAAAAACCCTGCAGATTTTCATGCTATACATTTCAAATGAGTTAAACTCTGTCTTAGAAAAATTTAGCTCGCTTCAAAGAAAACATACTTTGTAGGGGTTTTTCCCAGCTCTCCCCCAAATTTGGCATTTTTTTTCATTGTAAAAGAGTCTTCAGTCCCTGCCCCAGGAGCAGTTTTTGCCTGGATGATCTGGGTTTCCACACAGCGCCCACACTGTACAGAGGGCTGGACTAGATGGCCCCTGGGTACCCCTTCCAACTCTATGCTTCTAACTGCAAGAGTCCAATTTAGTACCTATGCATGTCGACAGGCACCACTTGGGTTTCTGTGAGTCCAAAGATATCCTGTTTACCAATCTATATGTATGAATGTTTGTTTTTGTCTTTGTTGGTCTTTTATAAAAATAACATTGTTTAAAAAAACAACAACAAAGTTATCCTGTTTATATATTTTCAAGTGGTGACTCAATCTTAAAAATCATCTCTAGCATGACATAACCTGTCCTACAGAGGAAAACCAGTCTAGCATAACGGTTTCTGTCCTGGAACAGGTGCTGTGAGAATCATGTTCGAATCCAGACTCGTGCCAGGAAAGCTTGCTGGGTAACCTTGAGCCAGCCACACACTCTCAGACTAATCTACCTCCTAGCGTCATTGTGAGTATACAATGGAGGCAAGGGGGGAATTCTGTTATAAATGGCTTTGGAATCCCCATGGGGCCGAAAAGAAGAAGAAGGAGATTAGATTTATACCCTGCCCTTCACTCGGAGTCTCGGAGCGGTTTACAATCTCCTTTTCCCTTCCCCTCCCCACAACAGACACCCTGTGAGGTAGGTGGGGCTCAGAGAGCTCTTTCCAGGACTATCCTTGAGAGGACAGCTCTGAGAAAACTATGGCTTGCCAAGGTCATCCAACAGCTGCAAGTTGTTAGCCGTTATACTCTCGGCCCAAAACCACTCGCTTTTGCAAGCAGGATCTTGTTACGTATTTCTCTGCACATGTAGGGGACTTTGTCTTTTGACAGAGGAAGGACCAGACGCATTTTGTAATTTAAAAGAGGTTTTTTATTTTTAGACATAACTTTGACTAGCAGCTTATTGAAATGATTACATTCTGGGCTTCCGGTCGGAGAAAATGGCGATTTGACGCACTCTGAAATCGCTCGGAGTGGACGAGGGCTCCTTAAGACAGTTTGGGCTATCGAACAGCCCAACGCAACCCTCCCCAGTTAAGGGGGGAGTCTGGCAGGCAGCAGCACCCCAGAGAAAGTCAAGATTGGCGCGAACAGGCTTCGGAAGAAGCCTGTGAGTGACTTTGATCTCCTTTCACGGTACGGGCGGTGCTTTCAACGCTAAAGGAGCTCGTCGAGCTGAAAATCAGCATAAAGTGGCCATTTCCCGGCTTCGTGGATAAAGTGGATTTAATTTGGACTATATGAGGCAGTGCGAAGATCTGAATGGACTAACGAGGTAACAAAAACAACTTTACTTACTGGGTATATGGTTGAAAAAATGATGATGATATCCGGAAAGGTTGGGAACAAATTTAAAGCAGGACTGAGTAAAAAGAAATTTTTTAAGGTGGCTAAAAGAGCCAAAAAAGAGCTAAAAAGAACTTTGTTTTGAATTCCTGTGGCTGGAAAATTACCAGCGCCGAAGAAAGGGGTGACGAGGGAGAGATCGAGGGCGGAAGTGACGTGGAAGGCAGCAAGTGAATGGTGCCTAGACGTTACTGAAAGAGCGACAGAACATCGGAGTAAACATCAGCGTGGGACCGGAAGACGACGGGAGACATCGCTGGATTCGGAAGACGATGGGGGACAAACGAGAAAGAGGACAGGAAGTGGCAGAGCGGAGCGATTCGGCGAGGGACCGGAAGTAAAGGAAAAGATCCTACTCTAAAAAGCATAGAGACATAGCGCCCGACATTTTGGGGAGGACCAAGTTTTAAATTTACTTTTTTTTTTACCTAAAAAGTGGCCGTGGAGTAGCGAAAATAAGCAACTTTGATTAAGGACTGTCATGATCTGGCCTGTGCCAGCACGGCCTAGCCGGCCTAAGAGGCCTGGCTGGCAGTAGGAGGCAGCTAGGCCTACAACTCCCAGAAGGCATTGGGATAATCAGAGAGGCAGCTTCTGGGAGGAGACTGTTGAACTGGGTGAGGAGAGTCGGTTAGCCATTAACTGAGGAGAAACACGGTGTTCTCCGGGTCTCTCTCTGCGGCCTGGTCCCACTGTGGGGACAGGCTGGTCTGGGAGAGAGGGAGCAACACTGGGATCAGCATGAGTGCTAGGCAGGCTGGGGCCTGGAAGTAGAAACAGGTAGCTGCGTTAGTTTATGTTTATTTGTCCTTTCACACTGTTATTCCCTTTTGAAGCACCTTGCCGTGTCTTGTTTTTCCCTGCCCCACTGTTGTTTTAATAAACCCTTTTTGTGTAATTATTTTCTCTGCCTGGGTCAATCACGCCTGTATTGCTCGGCTGAAAAGGGGCTTGGGAAGGTACCCTGGGCCTCCCAAGGGACCATAAATCCAGGGTGGTGGCGGCGGAACCCAAAGACCCCTCTGGGGTCATGACAAGGACATAGAGAACTATTGATTGATGCCAGTAGAGACTAACTAATAAACAACAACGGAGCTTCGGGGGAGACAGAGGGCAGCGTCGTTCTCAACGCCGAAAATGGCTGCATCTAAGAAAGATAAGGAACTGCAGGCTGCAATGGAGGCGATGGAACAAAGAATGACAGATGCCATTCAGGAAATGGGCAAGCAAATGAAGGAACTTCTAGTGGACATGAAGAAAGAAGTAGGTGAGAAATTGGAAAAAGAAACAAGAAAACAAAAAAATTGAAACAATAAATAGGGAAATTCAGGAAGAGGAAAATAGATCCATAAAATCTATTAAAAATCTAAAAAACACAAGGAATAGAATAAATAAGTTACAACATCAGTTAAACCTATTCCTAACCCAAGAGACGGCAAAGAAAATAGATAGGGCAAAACTTTATTATTTTGAAAACGCCAACAAGCCAACAAGATGGCTCTCTTATAAATTGAGAAAAGAAAAAGAATCTAGAGTAATCAAAAGACTAAAAAACGATAAAGGTGAGGGAATGACGTCGCAGAAAGAGTTAGAAGATATAATTCGGAATTTCTATGGCAACTTGTATAAAAAAGAAAACGTGGAAGAGAAAGAAATGCTAGAATATCAAAAGAAGTGGGAAAAAGGGAAGTTTAATAAAGAACAGATTGATATCTTAAATGAACCAATTGCCACTCAGGACATAGTAGAGGCGATAAAAGATGGGGGGGGAAAGAAATCTCCGGGCCCAGATGGGATCCCAATAGAGTTTTACCAGACTTTTAAAGAGCAGATAACTGAACCCCTTAAAGAACTAATACAAAATATTCCACAAACTAACGAAATTCCAGCCTCATGGAACGAGGCGCTTATCACTCTAATACACAAACCGAACTCTGATGAGGAAGAAATAAAAAACTATAGGCCGATTTCCCTATTAAACACGGACTATAAAGTTTTTGCCAAGATATTGGCTAATAAAATGAAAAAAGTGCTTTCAAAAATAATTCATAGAGACCAATCAGGTTTCCTGCCAAAAAGAAAAATACAAAACAATATCAGGAACATAATAAATGTGCTGAAATATTATGAAATGCAACCAGGAAAGCAGATGGCGTTAATATTGTTGGACGCAGAGAAGGCTTTCGATAACATCAATTGGTCATATATATTAAAAAAATTAGAAATGTGGGAATGTGGGGAAAACTTTTATGCAATGATTAAAGCCATATATAACAAACAAAATGCCAAGATCCTAATAAATGGTGAATTATCCCAATACATCCAAATACAAAAAGGTACAAGACAGGGGTGCCCCCTCTCGCCATTATTGTTCATTTTCATAATTGAATCATTAATGGACAAAATTAGATCTAATGAAATAATAAAAGGATTGAGAGTAAAAGGGGAAGAGTACAAAGTACAAGCTTTCGCTGATGACCTGATATTTATACTTGAAGATCCGGACCAATCGCTATCAATCTTAATAAAAGATATAAAAGAATTCGGCGACCTGGCGGGATTTAAAATAAACCTACAAAAAACGAAAATAATAGCAAAAAATTGCTCCCAAGGATTGTTAAATAGGTTAAAAGAGATATCTAAAACGGAGGTAGTGCAGACAGCGAAATATCTAGGGATTTGGATATCAGATAATATCTCAAAGCTATATGAAAACAATTATATAAAACTGTTAAACGAGATAAAAAAGGATTTGGAAAAATGGGGAAAAAAGCATTTGTCACTAATGGGCAGAACAGCAACCATAAAAATGAATATCCTCCCAAGATTC